ATTATGGAATAACACAAAGCATCTGATCCATATCAAAGCTCAATTTGTGTTTTGTACCCTACAAAACTGATAAGAACGAGAGCAGATTTTGTTATCGTTGGCAGACGCAAAAACAGTTTGGAATCAAGTATACAAATTAAGAAGGTCTTCTTGGTCACATAATGAAAATTCAACAGCAATCTCAGCTCATCGAATGATTTGGTTTAAGTGCCGCCAATTTTAGCAATGTGGCAACCTTGTTTTCGCTAAGATGATAATAGTTAAATGAAAGCGTAGTTAAGTTGTTCGCTCTTTTCCACTCTTCACTCTCCCACTTCACTCATTACTAATACTTGTAAAGTTGATAAACTTAAGACCACTCTCTACGCTCTTTGGGGAATCAGCTGATATTGCATTAGAACGATGACTTTTGACAAACTTTTTCAAGTTTGTTTATTAAAGTCAACTTTATGATATTTCTATTTCTGATATTTGGACATAAAACACCATAATTGCGCATACATACATACATATGTAATAAAAATGATTGTGATTAGATAGCAAAAGTGGTTAACTTTGTGACAATGTAAGCGAGGCAGAGGCCTGCGGTCATTTTAGAACTTCTTAGCTGGCCGATAACCAGGCGCCGCATAAAATAGTAGATAAGCATGCATCGATCGCTCTCTCGCTCTTTCTCTCTGTTTTGGAGAGTGCGTCGCACATGTGTTTCCGAACTGCCAATATATTCAACACCAGTTACTTTACTCGTAATATATAATCTAAACAGTTGCCCGTCGGAGTTAATAGCGTACTGGTTGAAATTAAACATGCTGTCGTAGCCTATTGGCACTCGTTAGACATACCCACTAAAGCCGTGAAATAGTGAATATTCGCCCCTGACAATTTACCTTTAAGCAATGACTGAATTATTGGACTTTACGTCGATCTTTGATCTCATCATCAAAAGCGGTACGTGGGTGATACCAACTGATATTAAGCACATGTTATGGAACCATTCTTGTTGAAGCATTGTCGATATTGCTCATAAAATCAATTCAATGTGATAAACTGGAGTAGTCTATTAATTATCATTCAAGATGTTTGTTTTGTTTAATTTACATTTTGTATTGGTTGTTTGATAACATTTTCCAAGATTAGATTACAGCTTTAGTGAGCAAGATAAGCGGTTTCAATAGCTTGTTTATAAAGGACTTTTATCTATGTATATTATTATTTATCTTTTTACTAAATTACAGTAGATATCAGATAATATGCTTCAGTTTTTGCTCAAATTGATAATTGAACATCAAATATCTTATTTGTTTAAAAGGAAGAAAGCATAAAATGTTTGAAAATTTGACAACTAATTCATAATTCAGCAAACTAAATCCTTTTCGGCCGCTAAATTAATAATGTTATAACAGAAAAAGATCTTGAAATGACCCCAAAGCAAAATTCAGGTGTTTGTGTATTAGTAGTAGCTCAGAAATCTCTAATTTTAAGAAGATTATGCCATCCCGAACATTGTTATATAAGTGCGTACAACATGCTCTACATATTCTGTATCTTAAGCTATTTTTACCATTTTTCCGTAATGCCCAATAATTATGAATTATCCATTATGTTAAACTGTTTTAGCAATGCCATGGTTTGGCATGGACATTGGCGGAACGCTCACAAAATTGGTATACTTCGAGCCAAAGGATATAACGCCCGATGAACAAGATTGCGAGGCGGGCATTTTACGTAATATCCGAAGGTATCTAACCAAAAACTCGGCGTATGGCAAAACGGGACATCGCGACACGCACTTGCAGGTAAGCTGTCAATTAAATTCGATTTCCTTTAGACACGTTTATCTATCTTGCTTGTATATGTTTATAGTTTATATGAGACAGTTGTATGGAGACAATACTTTGATTTGTTTTGCAACGCATTACTTGATTTATATACAAAAAGACTATTTCAATTTCTCTCCCCTCGATCAATGGCGATTACGTACCGAAAATGGAAACAAAATTGCATTAGCTTTGAGCGTTATGCATTATCTGGCGTGAATAGCGCGTGCAAGCAGCAGAGATCACCGGGTTTAGAGCCAGGTCGAATGATTCGCCTGCTGATTTCTAGTATTCGACAACGATCTATGGCAGTGAAGCTTCGTCAGACACGTCAATGGCACGAATTG